TTAAAACACAAAGCCCCAAAGCCTGAAACAACAAAAAGACTTCATATATCCAACTCCTTAATTGACAGGTGATTACACAGGCATAAATGGAACTCAGATATTGAATGGTAGTCTCAAAATCCTTTGACACCATGAAGAAAATAAAAGACGGTCTTGTGATAGAAAATGACTGGACAAAGGTCTGTTTTAATTTGGGTAATTAGGACGCCACGCAGTGAGCAGAGGTTGACACACGCCTGGAACTTCGTGAGCAAGGGAAAAGTGGTGGAAGATGAATCAAAGAGGAAGGGCCAGATCAAGTAAGGCCATACAGGCCATGGTGAAGAGCTTGGATTTTATTTTACGTGTGATGAGAAACCACTGGAGGGATTTACACAGGCCCATGGTATGACTTGCATTATAAAGGATCACTCTGGCTGCTCTGTGGAGAGTCGATTTGGGGAATGGGGAAGAAGAGAAGCAAAGTGACCAGTCAGAAGGTGTGTTGGTTATTCCCCTTGCCCTCGTTATCTCTTACACCATTTCATTATCTGCCCTTCTCTGACCCCGAAGGCTGACAACTGCAGACAGCATCTCCAGGGCCCCTTTGCTGCCTGGTTTCTGGTTGAGTTGAGCTTAGGCCATGAGAGGCACTGGCAGGAGATCAGAGGTGAGAGCAGAGAGATGAGGGTACTCATTACCACTGCCCCCTGCCCCATTTCCTTCCTTCCTCACCCAGGTCCTGTCTGGGGCTGTGTTCCTGCAGCTCCTGGTGCTTTCACTGGGACTTCACCATCTCTGGGTTGTTTTCTTAAGCTTGCCCCCTGCCTTGGTTAATAGTCAATAGTTAATGGTTTACACATAATGGTTTATGGTAATAATATATGCAGTAATAATATACAAAGGTTTATAGTTAATAGTCATTAGAGTCTTTTGGGGTTATCTCTTTTGAGTGTACCATCTGTTGGTGCCCTGAATGGCACAGATGGTTGTTACAGGCAAAGATGCTGATGGCTTGCACTACAAAGATGGTGAGAAGAGGCCCCATTTGAGATATATTTTGGAGGTAGAAACCAGAGGACATCCTTACGGATTAGATGTGGAGGATGGGAGAAAGAGAGAAAGGGAGGGAAATTCCTAGGACTGGGGCTTGAGTGGTTGGTGGTGCTGTTCATTGAGGCAGGAATGTCTGAGGGAGATGCAGGCTTATAGGAGCAGAGACGAGGGAATCAAGAATTTCTTGTCTGCCATGATAAGTCTGAGTTGCCGATTAGACGTCCAAATGGAGGTGTCGTGAAGGTGTGTAGACATATGAGTCTAAAGACCAGTAGACATGTTAGCTAGAGAGAGAAATTTGGGAGCCGTGAGTATGTTGTTGTGTTTCAATCCAAGGGGCAGGATGAGATCACTTAGGGAGAGAGTGTGTTAGGGAACCCCCGTTGTATGAGTTGTGCTGGACACTCACAGTCCCTGACCCCTAGCAGCCCAGACACAGGCAGTGACCTAGGCTCAGTCAACCTAGGACTCCTGTCCAGGACTTCGAATCTGGAGCCAGTGTTGCAAAGAAGCAAGGGACAGTTCCGAATTCCTTCGGATGGCAGCAGCTGCAGCATCCATGTGGTCACTGGCAGTGGTTGGTGGTGACAGTGTCAGCATGCAGTGTCCAGTCTGTTCCTGGGGTGTGAACTTGGCTGGAATGCTGAGCCCTGAGCTTCCCTCAGTCTCAGACCGTTTCCAAGCCTGTTTCACCGGCCTTCCTGTCAACTCCGTTTGCTACCTGATTTCCTGCCAGTGAATTCCTTTTCTCCTTAGGTTAACCAGAGTCAGTTTCTGCTGATGGCAACTAAGAACACTTTTAGCACAATGCCTTGAACTTGGAAGGCATTCAGCAAATATGTGCTGAATAAGTGTCTGAATAAGTTTCCTCCTAAGTCGAAATTAGTAAGGAGTCCCATGCTTTTCCACCATGGCTGCCATGGTCTAATGGAGAGTATTCTTTTTCGTGAATTGACAGCTTTCCTTGGAGTTTTCAGAGGACAGAGAAACAAGAGGTCAGCAGCTGAAGTAACTGTTATCCTAATCTAATAGGAATAAACATGTTGACACATTGGTGAAGTCAGTTTCCTTCTAAAAATGCCATGTGGGAATTATTATTCAAGGGGAGGAATTCTTCCCTGGATCCTCTGGTACTTAAGGATGCTCCAGGTCAACCCACCCACCATTCCCCATATTTTAAACAGCAGTTATAGAAACCTGTGAGCTCCTGAGTTTAAGATATGTAGCCACAATGAAAGCAATGAAAACTTTTGTCCTTTGCAACTAGAATAAAGAGATCACGTTTTACTTTTCCAAACTTGTCAAGGTAATTCAATTCCTCCCTCCCCTCCGGCGCTTTTAAATGAAAGTCAACTGTTGTCTTTGAAGAGACTTAAAGAAATTATTGAAACAGCTGGAGTCTAAATCTGCTTTGGCAAAAACAAAAAAAAGTGTGGAATTATCCTACACTGGTCTATTTTACATTTTATTGAGTTTGAGCTGCCTAAGGGGCCATCTGCTGGGGCTCCTGTAAAGAAACCAGCTTTCTGTCTACAGCTAGCTCTGAATCCAAAGAGAGGCTAGCTCCTCAGCCACGCTGTGAACCCAGTACAGGAGAGTGTGCCGTCAACTGGAGCTCTCGCTGATGAAAGTATGGAAATGTCAGCAGCTGGAGAAATAAGTTAATTTTGAAAGGATCACTACATCTGATGCTAGATCCTGTCAATTCCACCTTAATGGCTCTGTCATGTCTATACCCTCCTCTCCATCCCCACTCAGTCTTGGCCAATGCTTCTCCAATGTTAATGTGGACACCAATCACCTGGGGATCTTATTACAATGCAGATTCTGATTCCACAGGTGTGGCGTGGAGCCTGAGATTCTGGTCGTGTGACAAGCTCCCAGGTGACACGCACACTGCTGGTCTTGGACCACACTTTGAGTAGCCAGGGTCTAGGCCACCATAACACGTCTTCCCTGGATATTTACAGCAGCTTTCTACCTGGTCTCCTGGCTCTAGGCTTGATCTTACTTGCAACAGATTTTCCCTAGAGAAGCTAGAAGATAGAAATGATTAGAAGCTAATCGTGGATCTGTAACATTCTCACCTCTCTCCACTTAAAATTTCCCAGTGGCTTCCAGTGTTCTTAGAATACCATCCAGACCCTCTCCTGTGGCACCAAAGGTCTCTATGCCCACGAGCCTCCAAAGCCCACTCTCCTCTGTAGCACCGGGCATTCCAGTCCTCTCGCAGCACTGGTGTTCACTTCCCCTGCAGTGGAAGCGTGGAGTCTTAACCACTGGACCGTCAGGGAAGCCCATCTTTGCACGTCTTGGTACTTCTTCAGTTGGGGCTGCTCCCCTCTGTCTGCCTAGTGAATGATTCTCTGCTAAGTCTTTTCTTTCCCTCCACAGCTCCTGCCTCTTACACAGAGGGAGGACCTCTCCCTATGGGTTCCCACAGTACCCTGAAAATCTCTCTACCACCAATTTTAACAAACTGTATTTTAATTGTTTATATGGTTATCCCTTGGACTAAACTGTGAGCTTCTTGAAAGCATAGACTCCCTTCCTTCCTTCTTTCCTTCCTTCCTTCCTTCCTTCCTTCCTTTTTCCTCCCTCCCTTCCTTTCTTCTTCCTCCTCTCCCTCCTATTCCTTTCCTCTCCCTCCCTTCCTCCCTCCCTCCCTCCCTCTTTCCCTCCATCCTTCCTTTCTGTCACACTGAACTATCGAAATTTCTGAGATCTCCGGTCTATGGGACTTTGCAACACTGTTTGATCTCCCACCTTCCAGACGTGGAAATTCCTATTCATGCTGCAAGATTCAGCTGAGATGGTATTTGCCCCAAGAAAATTTTCTAAATAATTCTTATGCCCACTCCAGCCCCAGCCAGACTAGGGGCCCCTACCCTGTACAAACAGATCAGAGCTCTGAATACACTGCATTATAATTGAATATTTACTTCTCTGCTCAGCTAGACTAGGTACTCATTCATTCATTCAACAAATATGTGTTGAGCATCTACTGCTCTAGGCACCAGGGATACAGCAGTTCACAAAGGAGACAAAAATCTCTGCTCTGCTTCCTTGGATCTTACATTCTAATGGAAGGAGACACGTAATACACAAATATCAATACGTATGTCAGGTGGTGACAAAGCCTTTAAATGAGAATAAAGCAGGTTAGGGTGATAGAGAGGGACGGGGAAGTGTCTGTTTAGGGTGGTGAGCAAAGGCCTCTTGCATAAGATGGTACATTTGGGTAGAGACCTGAATGAAGTAAGGGAACAAGGCGTGCAGACATCTGGGAGTGTTCTAGACAGAGGGAATGGCAAGTGCAAAGGCCACGAGAATGGATCGTGCCGGGCATGTCTGAGGAACAGCATGGAAGCCAGAATGGCTGGAACAGCGTGAATAAGGAGAGTGGTAAGCAGCATCGCTGAGCCTTGGAGCAGGACCACCTTTGAAAATAAAGAAGATTGTGGACTCAGGAAGACAGGGAACTTCACTGACGTTCAACAGCCAACACAGAATAACATTTCTTGAGCATCAAGAGCTGTTGTTTATTGCATGCCTGCCGTGGGCTCATTGCCCTTAACACTCATGATGACCCTGCCAGGGAGGTAGTGTTAACCCAACTGCACACACGAAGCAACTGAGGCTAGTGATTTGTCAAAGGCCACTCAGCTAGTAGGTAGATCAGGTGCGACTGGGACCTGGGTCTGTCTGACTGCAAAGCCTGTGCCACTTCTGGTACATTTCATGATGTATCCTTATAGTTAAAAAAAAGAAAACAACAGTTATCGAATAATGCCAGAGGCTTTTTTGAGGGGTGAAATGAAACATTATCACAGATTGAATGGTTAAAGAAAACAGGTCACAGCATACAATTTAAAACTTAAAAGTACAAGACTTACCAAGAATGTAATGCCATTCGGTGTTCTAAGCAGGGCCTGGACTGAGTGAACATACGTTTTGAATGCGAAGGGATGGGGGGGTGTACATTTCCTGTGGCTGCTACAGAAAACGACCACAAACTTAGTGACTTAAAACAACAGAAATTTATTCTGTTCTGGGGGCCAGAAGCGTTGAACTTCAAGGTGTCAGGCACGGCCAAAGGCTCTAGGGGAGAATCCTTCCTTGCGTCTTCCAGCTTCTGTTGGCTTCAGACTTTCCTTGGCTTGTGGCTGCACCACTCCAGTCTCTCCCTCCGTCTTCAAATGGCTTTCTCCTCTTCTCCCTGTATCTGTGTCTTCTCATCTGTCTTATATTAGGACACGTCATTAGATTCTCCCACCCAGAGAATCCAGATGATCTCTGAACCCTTAATTACATCCGCAAAGATCCTTTTTCCAAATAAGGTCGCACTCATAGGTTCTAAAGGTTAGAGAGTAGACATATCTTTTGGGGGCCACTACAACAGTTGGTGACATAACATTAACAGATCCATAGTCCCCCCCATGACCGTCCCAACCACATTTGAGTCCCCACAGGGTTCTCCTGAACCCTGGCCCTTCTCAAATGCCTCAGACCTTACATAGGAGAAAGAGAAACAAAGTCAGACTAGGTGTGCATAAATTCTTGCTCTGAAATATTATAAAGTATAGCCAACAGGTTTGTATTTAGACAACAGTGTTCTTATCTCTCCTTCCAGGCAGCCACCGGGGTGATACTCAAAATATTGCACAACTGATCTAGCGCAGGTACCAACCCATCAGAATGGATGCCGCAGCCCATCAGGATGGTACCCACTGTAATCAACAGGCACTTCTAGGCTGGTGTCTACTGGGAGCAGTGCGGTAGTAACTAATTACTAATCCCTCACATTTAGGCAGTCACCTGGTTTTCGATGTTTTCTCATAGCATTGATACTGTTTGGTTTCCACGACGGTGCTGTGAGCATAGCAGGGCATGTTATCTCACAGACAAGTGAACAAAATCAGAGGAGTTGGTTGCCTCACCTGGGATCACTCAGCTGTGTGGGGCAGAGGCCAGCCCAGACCCCTTGTGATTCCTAGTCCAGGATTCGTTTCCCTTTACCAGGCGGTACTTGCTAGGATAGACTTAGTTTACTTTGCAATGAGCATAACGTGCATAGAAGATGAGGGCTGGATATCTCTTTTGGAAGCTGAATGGAGGAGACTGACCAGTGGCCAAAATCCAAAATGCCTTCAGGAGCTGGCAGATAAACTAAGAGCGCGACCGCCTGGGGCGGGTGGTGGGATGCACAGAGAGTGTGGTGGAACCTACATGGATCTGCAAAGCACATGCCTCCCTTAAAGGTGCTTAAAATCAGATATTTTTTATAACTCTGAGGTAGCCAAACAAAACAAATCTGTTTGTCTTATCAGCCCACAGGACACCTGTGTGTACCCTTTGATATACCAGCCATCTCAATGACAGATGACAAAACTGTGATTCAGAGAGGCCAAGTAATTCGCCCAAAGTCAAACAGCTTGTTACTGACAGCTGAGGTTAGAAAACAAACTACTGGTGACCAGTGGGGAGAGGGAAGGGGCGAGGGGCAAGAGAGGGGTAGGGGATTAAGAGGTACCAACTCCTATGTATAAAATAAATAAGCTATAAAGGAAGCAGCCGCATAGCCCAGGGAGATCAGCTCGGTGCTTTGTGACCACCTAGAGGGGTGGGATAGGGAGGGTGGGAGGGAGACGCAAGAGGGAGGGGATATGGGGATGTATGTACACGTATAGCTGATTCACTTTGTTATACAGCAGAAACTAACACACCATTGTAAAGCAATTATACTCCAATAAAGATGTTAAAATAAATAAATAAATAAATTACTGCTGAATGAAAAAAAAAGATATATTGTACAGCACAGGGAATAGAGCCAATATTTTACAATAACTTTAAATGGAGTATAATCTATAAAAATATTGAATCACTATGTTGTACACCTGAAACTAATATAATATTGTTATATATTATATATAACTATATATACTAGTTATTATATATAGAACTATATATAACTAACCCTAACTATACCTAAATAAAACATAAATTAAAAAAATGTTACAATGCTAAGAAAAAATGCGCTCTTCTCACTCTCTGCCCAGTACTCTTCCCATCCTTATTCACAGGCTGCACTTGCCCCTACAGTGCCCTGATAGGTCTATCACCCTGGGACTGTGACTCATAATCCAGGCTTTTACTATCCCTGTGACGCCATACTCCCTTGTCCTCCCAATCAAAATTCCCCAGACATTCTCCCTGTTCCCTATAGCCCTGCTCCATGTTTGGTCTAAGCTGAAAAAGGAAGGCACGCTAAGGCAGCAATGAGAGGCAATGGCTTAGGGTGAATTAGCATAGCCAGTTGGGTCAGTTGTTATGTCAGTCAAGGATAAAATCTCTTTATTGCAAGGTCATTGGGGAAGGGAATATAATAACAGCATGAAGAAGAGTTTGGGATCTCTAGTTATAGAGACCTGGGTTCAAATCATGACTGTGTGACTTTGGGAAAGTTACTTATCCTCTCTGTGCCTTAGTTTCAGCTGAAAAATGGTTATAATACTAGTCTCTTCTTCCTAGCACTACTGTGAGGATTAGACACAGTATATGCAAAGCTCTTAACACTGTGTCTGGCATTTGGTAATTCATCAGAAATGACAGATCTTGAACATAAAATCTTAGACAATAAAAAAAGATGCATCCCATGTGAGCATTCCTTGGCAGTCTAGACGGCTTCTGTGCTCCAGATCTGCCTGGGGTCAGAAAAGAGAAGGGTGAGGAGGGAGAAAAAATCCTCTGTGTCAACTGGTGTTCCTACATGTTAATGTATATAGATAGCCACCACCATCAGATTATCTTTATGTAAGCAAGAGCGTTTTCATATACTTTACCCATAAATGGGAGTTCCTTGGCAGGGCTATTTTGTGCTGGACCAAGAATAAACTCACAGGAAGAACGTAATCATGGAATAGACAAATTGGATCCAATATGCAGAATTGGGAGTGTCAGCCAGAAAACTGTAAGAGGCTAGAGATAGACTGGGAATAAAGCACAACAAGTGAAAGAAAACAGGGACAGACTCCGTAACCCCTTGTTCTGCTCAACATTTCTTATCGATAATTGGAATAAAGACTAGAGGACAGGGCTTCACTGGTGGTGCAGTGGTTGAGAGTCCGCCTGCTGATGCAGGGGACACGGGTTCGTGCCCCGGTCCGGGAGGATCCCACATGCCGCGGAGCGGCTGGGCCCATGAGCCATGGCCGCTGAGCCTGCGTGTCCGGAGCCTGTGCTCCGCGGCGGGAGAGGCCACAGCAGTGAGAGGCCTGCGTACCGCAAAAAAAAAAAAAAAAAAAAAAAAAAGACTAGAGGACAAATTCATTGAATTTGGGAGGGGCATACAGCTTGGAAGGGATGGTTAAATACCTTGCATGACAGAATTAGGTTTCAAAAAGACCCAGAAAGAAATCTGACTTCCTGGTCTAATCAAGATGGAAAAGCCCCTCTAACAACTAAAAAAAACCCTGGACATAAACCAACATATGAAGACTCTAAAAGGTGGAAAGAAGAAGGTGGACTTGGCTAGGGACCTCGGGACTTCAGGAAGGACAAGGCAGTGAGTTCTCTGGGTTTCCCTTTGCCTCCCATATATCCAGAACAGGGAGCTGGGAAAGTCTGCAACCTGGAACCACCAACAGGCACAGACAAGAAAAGCTCCTTGAGGGGCCTGCTCTCCCTACCCAAAGGGCCAGGAAAAAGGTGGCCTAACACAACAGAAAACCTTTTTGCCAACACCTGCCCCAATCCAGCTAAACACCAGTCTGTGTGTCTATGCCTCTACCCATACCACAATGAACTGATTACCGGAGCTATATAATAAGGCTTCCATTGGGCGGTAGGATGATCTCTCCCACTTCATTCTTCTTTTTCAAACTCTCCTAAGTTCTTGCGTTTCCATTTCATTTGAGTGGGTGCTTATATTATTGATTTGCGCCATTTCCTCTTTTCTAATGTATGAATTTAGTGCTGTAAATTTCCCTTCAGCACTACTGTAGTTCTGTCCCACAAATTTTAATGTGTTGTTCTTTCATTGTCATTTTGTGCAGTGTTTTATTTGATTTCCCTTGAGCCTCCTTCTTTGACCCATGGATTATTTAGAACCATGTTGCTTAGTTCCCAAGTGCTTGGAGATTTTTCTGTTATCTTTGTGTTAGTTTCTAGTTTCTAGTTGGTTTATAGTTTGATTCCACTGGGGCTGGAGAGCATACTCTGTATGACTGGAACTCTTTTAAATTTATTGAGGTTGGTTTTATGGCCAAAATAGAGTCTATCTTGATTAATGTCCCGTGGGCGCTTGAAAAGTATGTGTATTCTGCTGTTATTGGGCAGAATGTTTTATAAATGTCCATTAGATACTGTTGGTTAATGATATTGAGTTCTTCTATACCCTTGCTGATTTTTCTACCAGTTGCTGAGAGTAGGTCATTGAAGTCTCCAACTATAATTGTGGATTTTCTATTTCTCCTTTCAACTCTATCAGTTTTTGCTTCATGTACTTTGAAGCTATGTTGTTTGATGAATACACATGTATTTATTTATTTATTTTTGGCTCTGTTGGGTCTTTGTTGCTGCGCATGGACTTTCTCTAGTTGCGGTGAGCGGGGGCTACTCTTCGTTGTGGTGCACAGGCTTCTCGTTGTGGTGGCTTCTCTTGCTGTGGAGTACAGCCTCTAGGCGTGTGGCTCTGGAGCGCAGGCTCAGTAGTTGTGGCGTATGGGCTTAGTTGCTCTGGGGCATGTGGGATCTTCCTGGACCAGGGCTCAAACCCGTGTCCCCTGCATTGGCAGGCGGATTCTTAACCACTGTGCCACCAGGGAAGTCTAGACAAACTAAATTTAATACAATTATTGATATGTTAGGATTTAAGTCTGCCATATTATTGTTTTCTCTTTGTTCTGTTTCTTTTTTCTTGCTTTCTTGTGGATCACTTGAACGTTTTCTAGAATTACATTTTGAGTTATCTATATTTGAAAAATGAAGAGGATAAACTATCCTACCAACATTCTCTTTATGATGACATATGAATTATCTAGATGATACAGGCTTCCTCTCCAATGTTCCTGACTTCCTCCTGAGCCCTTCCTGGGAGAATCTTTAACATCCATATTTCTATTAACAGTCTGTTCAGGCCAATGTAGGATTTCTCTATCATGCTTTTCAAAAATTTTCCAGCCTCCACTCATTACCCACTTCCAAACTCACTTCTACATATTTGGGTATTTGTTACAGCAGCAC